CGATTCACATTCTTCCATTCTAAAACTCTCACTAATATAAACAACTCCGCACGATTCGTGTTGCTGAGCGTGAAAGTTCGTTATAAACGGAAAGTGAATATACAACTAACCTAAAAAGTGATCATTATATCCGGAAGTTCGTTATAAACAGGTTCGTTATAACCAGTAAAAAAATACGTTGGTCTTGATGGACGACGCTTCAATTAAAGGGAAAAAGTTCGTTTTAACCGAAAGTTCACTATAACCGAGTTCATTACTGTAATTAAAATTGGGCGTAAAAAACTATAATTTTTATAGCAAAATTCTTTGTTTTCCATTATGAACAATGCAAACAGTGCCAACGATCAATATTTTCAAATGTTCAAACAGCAGCTTCTTTAAGTTCATTTTGGCAATAAAACTAACTCGAATGTCGCCAAACTGAAAGGCGTGCTTATTATTTGTTACTATGGAAACAATGCCGTGTAGTATTTCCATGGGTCACCTCGATGAACCTAATGTAATAAAGTAAAAATCATTCGCACACTTTATTTGCGAAAAAACCTATCGATGTGACATATTAATTAAATCGCAATAAAAATTTCTATTTAATAAATCCAGAAACGCAAATGGGTTCCTTTTAAAAAACCACAGCTTTTGGTCATATGTCAAACAGTGACAGTTAATTCGTGAAAATGTCTCTTGTCATTTTATTTAAAACGCGATTGCCTAAAACTTTTCTATTTAATGACATCCGGTGACATTAATATTGACGGGACTGGGAGTTTGAAACAATCAGTTTCTTTAAATATCTCTTGACAGCTGCCAATTTTTTTTTGAGGAGAGCAAAATCTTCTCCAATTTAACCTTCTGCGTATCTGCTGCAGTTTCCAGGATCCCTGTAGTAGAAAAACATCATCCCATCGTGATTTTGCCAAATTTGCGCGTGTTTCGACTCTAATAACACTCTCGCATATTTTGCATGCTTTTTTAGCAGAACCGATGCGCTAAGAGCGCAACGATCCATACCCAAAAAAAAAAAAAACACTATACAGGCCCTTGGGAAAACACAGTTGACTCGTTCCAGATTTTATCTGCTTCATCATAAATTTCCTGCAGTAATATTGGTGGAACATCGCTCTGAACAGCTTTTGCCATAAAGCTTTCAGATTTTCCGCTTTGCTTTTGTTTGCTATGCGTTAAGGTAAATCGATGTGGAACAAATCGCTGCTGTTGCAGGCAATCCTCTCATTTGTAATTGCAATGCCGAAGAGTTGTGGGAATGGTTCAAAGACCATCGCAAGCAGATGGATCAGTCGGGCGATCAACTGCTGAAATGCGAACAGCCGGCTGAACTTCACGGGAGAGTTTTCGTGGAACTCGAACCGAAGCAAATTTGCAACCAACCGGTTGTGGTCAAGTTGGGCATCCAGGATATCCAGCCGTTTTCCGTTGTGGTCTCCTGGCAAAGCCGGGACCATTCGGGAGTGCATGGATACCAAGTGGCTTACTATTCGGTCGATTCTCTGAATGAGGCATGTTGCCGCTACCTCGGAGAAAAGCCCAAATCACTGTCTTGCGGCTGCTGTTCCAGGTAAGAGGCAAGATCCTGAGCCAATCAACGCGTTCCCTCAAGCTCACCAGCCTCTATCCGGGAACAAAGTATCGCATTTGCGTGCTAGCACTGGGAAATTGGGCAACGTTGCAGAGTAAAGCAACATCGCGACTCATCATGAGGAAAGCGTCGCAGGAGAACTCAACGATTGATGAGTTTGATGCGATGCATAATGGCATTTTGGCTTTTCTGGTAGACACCGCCACCACGCGATGCACAGAGGTGGGAGCTGGTTGGAGCAGCTGAGGCAACATTTGGAGTTTTCTGCACACTTTTCAGGTCCTCACGTTAGGAGCGCCGGATCTCAGTGTGCTGCAGGACCACTCCATGGGGGTCCAGTCGCTATTGACGAGAAGACTGGGCCTAATCGTTGGTTGCTGCCTAGGATTCGTCGTCTTTGTTTTCCTCGTTTCGATCCTAGGCTATCTTAAGGTGGGTATTTTTGGAAAAGATTAATTTGGTAGATGAGTTCTACTGTGTTGAGGCGGATTCATTTTTTTACAAACTCCTTGTTGGGCATTTCGCCTCAAAATTTTTTGTTTTTAAAAGACGGAATTTCCCCACGTCTTCTATTACTATTAATAAATCATTAACTGAAGCCGAAAAACTCGTTCTTTCTAAAAGTTTAAATTTTTCAATTACACCAAAAACCGTCCCGAAACTTGATTTAATTTCGAGCATAGAAGAAACAA